ATAATTTCCTTCTAAAGTGTTAGAATGATATCAATGTATGACTTTTAATAAGTATGTCTTAAATCTATACTCTAGTAAGAAAATATTACTAGAACCAGAAAGGTTTTTATTAACTGGTTCTATTTAAATTTTGGATTAGGTAAAACATATAGGATTTCAAAGATATTTTACAAAGTTAATCTTGATGTGTTCGTTTTAAAGTGATAGATATTCTATTTATGTATATTACATGGATTAATTGGTTAATTAAAACAGTATGATAGAACTAAACTTTACTAATCAAATAATTTGTTTGGAATAATACTAATAATAATAACAATCATCAATCTGAATGATACTTTGAAATTGATCAAATTAAGTCTGTCATTCTTTTCTTTAGTGACTGGTCATGTACTGTTAGTGTGAGAGATTTATCATTTGTCAAACTAATTGGATAGTCCAATAAAAGAATAAAGTTGATTCCAAACATTTGATGAACTTATGCAATACATCTCAAATAATCTGACCACATGTTCACATACATAATCTTATTTATGTTTTCTAGATCAGCTTTGGAGTTGAAATAGGTTAAGAACAAAGGTGGATTAGATTATAATTTATGGACGACATTTGAGCAACGCTAAAGTGACCTTGATAATGTTCACCTACTAACTGGGGCTAAATGAGGGTTATAAAACAGTATGAGGAACTAGAATTATGATTTACAATTGGCGGTTAGGGTTTGTAAATAGATTTAGGGTTTTCATGACAAACTGACAACAGATAAAATGCAAAAACACTATTTAGTTAAATAGATGACTGAATTTCTCGCAAAAATCCAAGACATGTTATCTTATATCTGATTGGTTCGTCCACAAACTATAGTCTCCCACCGCTTCTTTATACAATTGGATACCTTCACAAATTTAAACACAGCAAAAATGATATTTTTTCAAATAATAGCAGTTTAATTTTACTATGTATCTTTCTCATGGTGTAACTAATATGAGACGAATCTTGTAAGTATATTTTATTAGACATATTAGATTACTGACTTATTAAGACAGAACAATGCCATCTATTATGATCTATATAATTGTTACGGAATTCAATACATGGAGCCATTTATTGGTTTGATGTAAACGGACTACGAAAAATATTTAACAATGTGTTTGATGTTGTTGTTATTTTTTAATAAGAACGTAGTTCTCAATTTGAACAAACTTATGTATGTTAGATGAATTTTTCTAAACTATATTTCGGCAACCTGTAAAATGGTTACAGAACAACTGTGGTGCTCATAATCTTACGAGTAATACATTATTACATAGATCATCTTTTGAGCCAGGAGAGTCCTTTTAATCTGAGTTCTCGATTATTCTTGATTACGTTTCATGCTTGAATTTTGCTAGCTTATATGTTTCATGAACAGCATAGTTATGATCTATAAAAGGACTAATATCATCATGGTGGCTTCCCTGTTATAACGCCCACATAAATTTGATTTTGATTTCAGAACAGATGGATCATTTTAATCTCATTAGTCCTTCTGTATACTTGAATAAGTCAACTACTCATCTGTGACTTTGAGTAATTTTTTTAAAACATGTGCACAATGGTAAGTATGTGTCTATTTACTTCCTTGTATTTTGCTACATGTTAAATCAACTGGATCGCCTTGATATTCTGTGGTGTTTGAATTGACTAATGATACTTTTGTACATGTGGATTGCACGATTTCGAATTCCAAATACAGTACATTCGGTTGTGCCTGTGTCTTCTTAATTCAATTGCGTTATTTCTGGGACTCTTAGTTAGTGCTATAATTCCAATAAGTAGAAACATTATATTGGCGTCGCGATTGAGCCTGCAATGGAAAAGTTAGACATTCATTCAACTTCTGAAACTTTTGAGGATTATTTCGAAAGGTTCGAAATCTGGGTCATGACCAAGGAAGATGATGAGGATATTAGTATTGAGGCATATTTCCTCACATTCATCGGTAAAGAAGCATACAGCTTGTTAAGAACTCTGGCTATGCCGGAAAAGCCCATTTCGCTTTCTTATACAACTCTCAAGGAATTACTACTAGACTATGTCAAGTATGCAAATTTTGATTGCAGTAAAGAAGGGGAATTTCCTAAAATGATTCATCAGGACATCAAAAATTCTACTACATCACGTTATCCTAATCCAGTGCATACTCAATGTTATGCAGATAATTCATTGAGGAGTTGCAGTGCGTTTCACGAAGATTGGCGCAAGTTTGGTCAATGTTTGTCCTGTGGCAAGTTCCATGCTTTTAATTCATGTAAATTTCGTAATTCTAAATGCTTTAAATGTGATGATATTGGATATATTCAGTCAGTCTGCAATACTAATGTTCATGTTATTGCAACTAATATTAAGTCTTGTGATTCTGATTCTACTGAGTCGAGTATTTATAATGATGATTTATCTTTATCAACTATTGCAATAGACAGTGTAGAGTCAAAAAGCAGTTCAGAGTTAAATGAAATCCAGAATTCTTGTGAGACAACAGTTCCTAATCAACCGATTTATCAGAATTCTCATGCTATTGTACCAGGTATGACTTTTCCTAATGATTCACATATTTCTGATGAAATTTCTTATAAATCTGACGAAATTATGTTAAATGAACCTATTCATTGCCAAAAACCTGAGGCAGTCATGATAGATGCTAATTTTTCTAATGATCCATTACTCTGCAATGACATTCTTAGTCAATTTAATGAAAATATTTCAGTAGAATCAAATCCTGATGTCATATGTATTACCTATCCTCATAATGCATTTGATCCTTGTGAAAAACTTGTTCAATGAAAAGCACGAATACTAAATGAGCTCGGTTTTGATTACAATTCTGATGATTTCATATCAACTGTTGTTCATCCTTATCACAAAAACACTTCTAATGTTTACTCTAATCAATGTGAGAAATATGTTTTAAATGAAGCCACATTATTCATAACTTGGGAATATAAAGACCCAACATTATTTCGTGGGGGGGGATAGCGTTGAAAACTCTATGGTTCCAATTCGAGATATGAATCATTTCAGTACAAAACCGATATGTTGATTGTACACAATTCCAGGTGAGTCTGTTCCGATTTCGATTGTTAACTCCAATACTAATGAGCACATTCTAGATACTACAAAGTTTTCATCCAGTACAATGTGGGACAGACTCAGGATGAACTTAACAAGAAAACATACAACCGATTGCAAACACTTATACTTCTATTCAAGCTGTGGCGGATGTGGTGTTTGAATTGACTAATGATACTTTTGTACATGTGGATTGCACGATTTCGAATTCCAAATACAGTACATTCGGTTGTGCCTGTGTCTTCTTAATTCAATTGCGTTATTTCTGGGACTCTTAGTTAGTGCTATAATTCCAATAAGTAGAAACACTCTATATTCTCTGACCCAATGTATTATTGAACTTTCGTAATTCATATATTTGCTTCATTTCCTATTACTTTTCTGCTTTTTAATACTTGTATTCACGAAACACACATCCACTAAGTAAAATCCATACTTGACACTTTGTATCCGCGTTGTTATTAATGTAATTAGTTTAAAGAAATATATGAATAGGAGTATGGCATATATATGTATATATATATATAACTGTAGGCGCTGAAACATACCGCACTACTCGTCTTTTGCAACAACAAATTAGCTCATGTCACGTGCATCTCTAAATATGAAGTATTTTCTAAATATATCCTCACATTCATGCATTCATGACTTCCAGCTAAACCAGTTTTAAGATTTTCATATGAATAGACGTTTTGGACAAGAGCATTGTCAACCATTGTAAATCTATGAAATCTTTTGTTGATTAAAATCCTTCCAGTTTTCGATATTTCATCATTTTAAGCGTTTGATTATAACATATGCATTTGCTGGGTTTTTTACATTAAGACGTTGATTAGAAATGCCAGAATGAATAGTTATTGATAAGTAATCTAGAGTTAACGCGTTTTGGAGTCGAATCCGCATCCTCAAATCAACTATACTAAATTAAGGGCGGATGTTAAACTATCTCACTGACTTGCAACCAGTGTGTCAGCTGTAAAGTATTTTAAACGCGACAGAAGGCAATACTGTCACCTTCGAAATACCAGTATCCTATGTATGCTGACACAAAACACTTGTACCATCTTATTTTTTCAGAAATGACCTGTACATCTCTATTTTTGGATTTTGATGAAATATTTGATGTTCTATTGTACACTGTCTTAGCATAAAAAATATAGCAAATAAGGTTCACAGATTAACTCCTTTTGTCGTTAAAGGACTAGCTTCTGAATAATACTTACAGCAGGTTGCATTCAGAGAGGAGAACGCCAATGTCAAGAGTGATATAAGGGCTCATCTCAGTCTTCCAAATATTCTTCATATTTATTAACAGACTAGCAATATTTTATTTATCGCTGCAAGTATTATCAACGAAAACGAAATTTAGCATTTAAGAAGTATCAGATATCAAGGGGGTTTGGAGAAAATTAGAGCTACTACAGGAACGGATTCAAAACCATAGTTTTGTATTCAACCCTTCGAAAAATCAAATGATGTTCTTGGCATTCTAGATAATCACCAATTCACATACATCCACTCGAATATCACGCCTCTAAAACTCCAGTGAAGATTGGCCAGGAACTGTTTTTGAAAGGAAACCTGGGGACTAGTCACAACTTTTCTGGGATGAAGTTATAACATACACCATCATTATCTTGTTACGAAGACGGGCGAATATACTATCGAATTCATCAAGACAAGTTCAGTCGAGTCTGTACATTAACCCACTAAATGTTAGCAAAGACTTGGAAAAGTATGTTAAACCCCAAAAGGGAGCTCAGATTTTTCAATCGCTAATGCTATCTAATCCCAGGTATATTAAATATCAAAGATGAAGCTTGAATGTTTAGAATAACCACAGACCAAGGACACTTTGATTACAAAATCTTGCCGCGTAAATTGTCGAGCAGATGTCGGCAGTATATCGGGCGGTAATTTCAGCCGTTGATAAGAAGGTTCCTGCTCGAATCAAACCTTTATGGGATCATCCTGCCGGACCTAAAACCATATTTTTCTGGGCGCCTACTTTCAAATGGGTTGGTTAACGACAATTCACAAATTACTAGTTAATTAAAGCTTCTTGTTATAGCTGGTTTAGCAGATATTAATCGACCAGTCCAGAACGTCAGTTTATACCAAAGCGCAGCGCTCGCAGCAACCGGTATCATATGGTCCCGGTACTCTATGGTTATTATCCCAAAAAATTACAACCTTCTCAGTGTAAACGCCTTTGTTGCTCTAACTGGATTATATCAACTAGCAAGAATCGCCCAGTAAGTTGTTTCACTCCTTTAAAACTTTTCAGTTATGAACGCTCTAAGTAGAAAACATCAAGCTCAATAATCGGGGAACCCTCGTTTCCCTTGTTACTTGGATTTGGGATATATCTACATATGCAAATATTTTTTGGTTTTTCATCCATAAAACTGAATTTATGTAGTAGTTAATATCTTATTACCTGTCTCTTTGGTCACATGTATTCTCAAGATATACTGATCTTGAATTTTTATTCTATCTTACTAGTTGTATATCAATTTTTGTCCAGTAGACATTTTTCTTTTAGTTACTTGATCATTGTTAGTAATATTACTCTAACAAAAAGCACTTCACTATTTGTGGTTTACACTAATTTTCCTCCTAAGGATTTCTGATATTACAAACTGTGATTGCAGAAATTATTTTCTGAATTTCACCAGCTTGTATATTAACCTAAAAATATTTAGTCATGTGAATTAGATGGCTACCCATATTGAAAAATCGTATAAGCTCTAGAAGAATTCGCATTAGGTGTGTGTATTTTTTCACTGATTAGGTCCTGGAACAATTGATTGAATAGAAGATATCGTTAGTATTAGCTGCCGACTTCACTTTTCTTAATAGTGGAACGTTTCTCCATGCGTTACCATTTGAATAGAATTTGTCGATGCGCAAACATCTGCCTTCTGATAACTCAATCTAATATAGAAAGTCGTCTCAGTTAGTTCTAGGCACGTGGACTTAAACTGTATGCTCGCATATGTTCGTTTTATGTGTTTGGGTGATTACTTTGTTCACATTAATTTAGCGTCATGCAAATGCTTCAAAGTTCTTGAAACAAGTTTGATTTCCGTTCTTTGGATCACCTCTCCCGATGTGCATTTAGAAAAGGACTGGTTTCTGGCACATATTACCATAGTTTTGAGTTTAGTGTAGTAGATATCTCGGCACCTATAGGATTTACATTTTATCCAATATGTTCTTAAACCTTTCTCAGTTACTGCACGAGTGTATGGTGGCTTTCAAGTCCTGGATGCTGTTAGTCTCCAGGTGACTATGTCTTTACGGTGGGTGACGTAACATTATTCGGCTTGGTGACCACATTATAGTCTTATGTTATTTGATGCCTTCTACTACTATATTTCTTGAGGAATATACCTTTGACTTCACAATGGAAACTGGGATTGGCTAAGACAAGATGCAGTTCTTGTCTTCTCTAAACGGCAACTAATTGTCCTACACATTCTACTTTTATGAAATAGGATCTCAGTTAGGTTTAACAAACTTTCCTAGGAAAAGAGCCGCCAGTCCTGTTTTTTAGTGGAATGTAATAACAATTCTATTGACTTCTTGAGACCAACCTCGCTGTTATCCATGGACTGAGTTAAATATGTTTCTGTTATTACGTTTGTATTCGACCTGTGAGAGTCAGCTAGGGACTTTTCTCCGGTTTTTTATTAAGCAAAGTTCGAAGATTGATGTGAAGAGCCTAAGATCTATCACAAATACCTTGTGCCACACCCAGAGTATTTTCCGGACCATCCATTCCCGAAGCCTCACACATCAGAAACTTGTTGATTTGTGATGTCTTTCATCTGCTTCTGAACATATATTTAGCTTTATCGTTCTTTATACGACAAGTGATAGATCATTACAGTCATGAAATCTTGATCCATAGTATTTATTTACGCTTTAATTTTATCCACCAACTTTTCTGTTGCCTTGACCGCCTGTACATTAGATCGTTATTGCATACTTTCTGTATGTTCCAAACTAGCTGACACTTGGGGAAAACAGTTTAGAAGACATTTTCCGATACATTCTTGATGCTGAAAACAAGTTTCAAGCTGAAAGTTTTAATTGATTCTATGAAAGGCACTTGACTTTTTTTAAATGATTAGTTCTCGATCAGATCTAAACCGTATTTTTATGAATGGGAACTTTATATTCTTGACACTTGTACTCAGTCTTTTAAGAAGTAATAACCAATGTCCTGTCCAAATTATTCATTGGGTTTACCAAAATTTATCTCTGATGTGATTCTGCCCTTACGATACGTTGAAGTTTGTTCTGCCGAGAACTGGCCGTGTTCGACAAACTGACTACTTACTGCATTGAATCCAATATCCTGATGATAATGGGATTGCTTTTTTATTTCAAATAATCTTTTCAAGAGGTAATCTATCTTGGTATTCCAATTTTGCTCTTCACTCCTGAGGAGCTGCATTGATTGCTAGTTCATAGATCCTTTTGCTAACGGACATAATTTAACTGTATTCTGAGATCCAGAATATTTTTCTTTGTTTCGTGTTCCTTAAGTACATTTAAAAGTTGAATGTCTGTTAAATTGGAGACCAGACATTTCTGAACACCACTGTTGTCAGAGTTTTTGTATCCTACGTTATTAGACTTCTTATACAACACACTCTTAAATTTCATTAAAGCGTCTTGGTATCAACCTATGCACTTGTCACGCTGTAACATTGGTTCATGGAAAGCAATAGCTCGGGTATTAATGAGCTCGCGTTTCATTACGTAGAAATATACGTTTATCGTCAAACTCACGGTCACCCGGAGTAGACCGACGGGCGTTGATGAGTTGCAAAGAGTTTGTATAAAACCAGCGCTTATAAATGGGAAGCTTCGTGAAGCTGCAGGCGACTATATTCGCCATTTCCATGGCGTCATGTGAATGTAGCCAGTGCTCATCTACACTTTTCGGTGGATTGATGGCTAGCCTTGAACCTAACTCGGTTTGATATTTAATTGCAACAGAAGCTGCAATCGGTTTACTGATATCAATCCGTTCAGGACGATGAATTCGTTAGCCACTGGAACGTAAGATAAGATTGGCGCAAACAAGGACATGATGAGAATCCAGATAGGTACTCCAAAAGGAGCGGTAGTCTTGTACACGGCCACGCCAGCAATAGCTGATCGCGACGTGATCAATCCAAGTCCAGGTTTGGGACATAGATGGAGGACACCAAGTCGCACGTTGGCGATAACTTCCGAAAGTTTGTGCTAACCAGAAACAGGTAATCTGTGCAAAGTTGAAGTAGTCAATTGTCGTTATTTGATCTGCAACCAACGCGTCCCCATCGGTCACCTAAATGACTTTCTTTTTTTAAACACCCTATTTGTGCACTCAAGTCTCTGGTTGGCACTACAATATCTGTCGAACTCTTTTTCTGTAGAACAACACTTGGTTGGTGTTAAAACTCATCAAAATTCCACAGGGTCCTTCTAAGTACATACTTGAAACAACCTCTAAGCGACAAATGGAGAGTGAATTTGTAGTACTTCACTAGAGTCTTGGATACGGCTAGGCAACAGATGTTCATGTTAAGACTTTCTAAAAACAGCCACTCTATCTGTTGTCCGAACGTTGGAGGAGTCCAGTTTGAATGAATAATGTGGTTTTAGAAAGACTGATTAAGAATCATCGTTGGTTGTATTCAACTTTCGACCAAACAATGACCTGAGGAAATCTAGGTAGGACAGGACCCGCAACATAGGTGGCCTGCTGTATGAGTTGAAAATTTAAGGGATAGACAAAATGGGAATAAAAGGGAACTAACAAGTGATATAAGCTAGTGTTACCAAATAATCGTAAATACAATTTCTGAGAACGCGAATTGAAGCGAAGGTAATTTTTTCGATTCTGATTTGTGTGGATTAGGTACTTCCAGGGTGGCAAAACAGAACTTAAAAGGTCTATGTAGTTTGCGTTTATATCGTGCGGCACATGAGAAACATCAAGTCAGTGTCTTGTAATTATACTGCATTAGCACATAGATTAAAAGACGTACACCCTTCCTCAAAACAAACTGGTTGCTAACAATATGTTGTTGTACGACGTAGAGTACTGTTTGAAACCAGTCTGTTAGAAGGTATTATCCTTGAAGTATAAACGAATTATCCCCAGGAGTTGAAATCGCTATCGGAAAAGAAGTACTGAGACTGTCCTTATCACTCGCCCACAGTATAGAATGAGTAAACACAAATATCCTTGGGAGCAAGATAAAATTTCATATGTGACAAATTGTAATGCCAAACTATCTGGTGTTATGTACTTACTTTGTGCTTTAAACTACTGCAAATCCTGACATACAAAGCAAGTTGAAAATGGGAACAAGAATTTACTACCAGCCTATATTCTGCTTGAATACCAGTTTGAATAGGATAAGAAACTATAAACTGACCAGAATACAAGGACATGAATTAATTCAGATTATTGGTGTACCTGGACAATATGAGTTGTAGCTGGTCAGTCAGATGAACGGATGTATCACACACTGGATTATTAATATTGTGAATAACTTCTTTCCACTGTTTATTTTGTTAATACACCTTGTTACTGATACCTGCTTGTCGAGTAAACCGTCGTACAATTAAGTGTAGTCGTATGGTTTCGTCAAATCCAAAGACAAAAAATCTTACTTGTAGCTCTCTTTAATATTAACAGTTTAATCCTTGTACCCACGTTTCGAAGCTAATAATACAATGAGTTGTTACATGGGAAGATTTACGATACCATACATCACTGCCTATTTCTCAGTTGTAAGATGTTTGAAAATAGACTTACCTCACTAGGCTTCGTGGCTTAAGTAATCGAAGCATGGTGTATCCAATAAGTTCTAGAAAATCTACGATACCCGTGCCTAATTAAATAGAAAGAAAACGATCTAACGAGTAATATCTACTTAACATTTCACATCTAAACATAATCTTCAACGAGATTCTCATGCCATATCAGGTCTAATGGTTTCGTCGAAAGTCCACCGAGAATTTGCATAGACGACGTATCATTACTTCAATAACTAATCTGTGATCCCCAAGTTTATTTCAACTTATGGGCATAAAATGAAATGCGCTAAATTGTTTTCAGTTGCCACCAATTATACAAATACATCAGCATTTAAAGTAAAGTATAATTTAGAACGGAATTTACTATTAGCACTGTCAAAACAATCAGGATATTATTTTAAATATGTATTCATAAAATAAAAATGATGATCTGAAGAAGTAACTTTGATTGCTTGCCAATAATGTTCACATATTTTGGTGTTTCTCTTTTTATGATGTTTAGACTTTGAAAACTGATGTCACAAAATAAACAGACAGCGTAACAGCTTTATTAGCAAAGCGATAAGGTTAAAACAAATATCAAACAAAAAAGTTATGTTTGAGTTTTTTGCCAACAACATTATTTTACAGAAAACAACACAAACAGTCAGCACAAAGGTTACATACTTAACACAGTAGAAATAAATATATTTGTGTACATAAGTCATATATGGACAGATTAATATGATAAAATCGGTCAATTGCCCCACCCCAAAGGTTGATATTGTTATTTACTTTTCTTAGATTTGTTTGACACATCAGCTTCCTGAATTTTCTTTTCAGCTTCCGGTTCATCTTCATAGCTAGAAAAAAATTGAATAAACTAGTCTACCATATTTTGAAAATAATAATATAATGCAATTAGAGTTGATGACTCTACATCTTATGGATTATGCCTCATAAATATATTTCGATCAGAAGTCGGGTGATTTGGCTTAGCATACGTTAGCGTGCATTTACTTTCCATCTTTTCGATTTCGAGTTTTAGTATCCCTTCCTACATACTATTGTCCCGAATATTATTAATGCTTAATCCTTCTCATTATGTTTACTACTAAATTATTATATATTGTATCCTCGTGTTAACTTCATCTCACTGTGTTAACGTGATATAGCATCTTAGACCAATGCACATTTGTTCCAGGATCTACATTGTTAACAACTGACTGAGGTTTCGATGATGATTTAATCTAACTTATGTGGTTATTCATACTATTTATTAAAAAATAACAGCTTTAGAGATAATTCCTACTTAGTACTTAATTCAGGTAGTTCTGACACGTGTATACAAAAAAGAACTTAGGTTATGTAAATACACTTCCGATGTGTAGAAGTTCCTCACGTTAAAATAAGATAAAGTAAGCAACGATCTAAACAAACTAACGAGAGGATTAAGACAAAAATGTAGAAAATATCTTACTAAATTTAGTTGTCAGAAAACGAGCATTTCAACCATTCCACTATATCGATTTTTGGAAATGTATAATTAGATTTATGGTTTAACAACTGATGACCTTAGCTTAGTTTTTACTAGAACAAATAAATATCTTGTGCATATGGTGATAGTCACATATACACAAACATCAGATTACTTATTAACTTGTATTACGTGCCTGCTTAATTAGCCGATATTAATGACTTAATATTTTACATTTTTAAGCAGTATATTGTGCATAAATTATGTAGATAAATTAATTAAGTTTGCTATCTGTATAGAGATGACTGAGTTATTATCAGTGATAACAGAACATTATTCCATTGTGAATAAAAGTCAATGCAATCAAGTTCCTAAAACTAACATTCATTAAGTGCACTAATTATTCATTTATTTTTACTTTCGCTAAATAAGTATAATGTTTAAAATTAGGAAGTAAAGACACCAGAAGATATACCTTGAAATATGTTGAATTTAGTGTCAAATACATTCACATTTTATCGTTTTTGCTCACCAACATTTCCTAGACAAGTGGCTACACATTACTGTAGTGAACGAGAACTCATGTTGGGAAAACAAATTTATTGTTTGATGCAAAATAACACAGTAGCTTAGTAAAATGTGAAATACATCATTTGCGCATCTTCTTTGCGTTATCCTTCCTACACTCCATTATCCCTCTAATCCTGTTGTAATCACAATTGCTCTCCGTTTCCCTTCATGTTCTCTTCAATTCAATCTTCTACTGGCAGGCATTTTACTTCCGACTGTTGCTATATCTGTCAACATAAGTAGCCTACACCGTTGTATGACTATGTGCATCTATCAAACAAAAATAATATTACAATATACGATAGGTCAGTCTTGTTAAATCATTTCCAATGAGAAGCTTATATAATTTTTTTACAATAATCAGATTATAGATTGGAATGTATTGACAATATGAAAAAAAACTGAAAGGTTTGTCTGCTAGGAAAAAACATCAGAACAGGAACTCACTTGAACATTGCACTAAGATCATTTTTCAATAAAGCCAAAAGCAATGGTGCACCCAAACAAGCAGGTACCAGGTAAAGTAAAGCCGGCTAGATTAATGAAAAGGCAGTAAACATAGTTATTTATATAACAGAAGTTTTACTCCAATAGAAATCTGCAAACAGAAAGTGTGGAATAATTTTAAAATAAGGAAGCTAGGGACTCGTTGGTTGCAGATCAAATAACGACAATTGACTACTTCAACTCTGCACAGATTACCTGTTTCTGGTTAGCACAAACTTTCGGAAGTTATCGCCGACGTGTGACTTGGTGTCCTCCATCTATGTCCCAAACCTGGACTTAGATTGATCACTTCGCGATCAGCTATTGCTGGCATGGCCGTGTACAAGACTACCGCTCCTTTTGGAGTACCTATCTGGATTCTCAACATGCCCTTGTTTGCGCCAATCTTATCTTACGTTCCAGTGGCTAACGAATTCATCGTCCTGAACGGATTGATATCAGTAAACCGATTACAGCTTCTGTTGCAATTAAATATCAAACCGAGTTAGGTTCAAGGCTAGCCATCAATCCACCGAAAAGTGTAGATGAGCACTGGCTACATTCACATGACGCCATGGAAATGGCGAATATAGTCGCCCGCAGCTCCCCACTTATAAGCGATGGGTTTATACAGACTCTTTGCAACTCATCGACGCCCTTCGGTCTACTCCGGGTGACCATGAGTTTGACCACAAACACAGGCTGTTACGTAATGAAATTGGGCAAAGCTTGCGTAAGGAATTGAATAATATACATGTAAATACTTTTCATGCCAGGATATTACTTTGAATAGTTCGACAACCCCTCTGACCGAAAACATATTCAGGGTAAACATTACAATAGCTTTTTTGTTTATTACGTAGAACAAATGAGAGAAACTTTACTCTGAAACAAAAACTCAAAAACTGTTTGCTCACCTGAGCGTGTTTGAATACGTGCATCATTACGAAAGTCATTATGATAGCAACGATATAGGCTGCGTATCCGGAGTAGAAGTAAGCATGACTATTATTGCGTCCAAGTCTGTGGAAAAAACAGTAGAGAATTAATGTTTGGACCTAATTAGTGAATTTAAATGAAGAATAATTTTAAAAGGAAAATAACCCCCATCAATAGCGACAAGCGTAAAAGATCTCTGAAATACAGAAAGACGGGTGTATATAATAATTTCAGAACTGACATTGCAGTATTACTGTGCGATGATACCCAAGCCATGCAATCCGCAATTAATGTCCATAGGTTTGGCATGTGTTTTGAACCTTCTAAGTGCAAAGTAATTTTACAAGTCTAGCAGGAGCTTGAACCTGCAGTAAACAGATAGAAGTAGTCTAGAAGTTCGTGTATCGGACTCCGCTAAGCATGCAACTTCTGTTGCAATTAAGTATCAAACCGAGCTAGCTTCTAGGCTAGCTACCATTCCACCGAAAAGTATAGATGAGCATTGGTTGCAACTTCATGACGCCATCAAAAGCCGCTTGCGGCTCCGCGAAACGTCCCGCTTATAAGCACTGGGTTTCTTCAGGCTCCTTACAACTCATCGACGCCCGTTGGTCTACTCCGGGTGACCGTGAGTTTGACCATAAACGAAGGCTGTTTACGTAATGAAATTGGGCAAAGCTTGCGTAAGGACCGAGAAGCCTGGTGGTCGGAGCGTGCTAATGAGCTGGAAGCAGCAGCTGCATCTGGTAACTACCGGAAGCTCTTCCAGCTCATCCGAGCCACTGGCAGCAAGAAGTCTGGTGTGAGTGAAATAATCTGTGAGGATGATGGGATGCCAATCACTAACATCCATCGACGTCTTGGACGATGGGCAGAATTTTTCGAAGGGCAGTTCAACTGGCCTGCTGCTCCGGCAACATCGGTGAGACTGGCCTGCTCACCATGGCCGGTGACGACTGATCCACCAAATGAGGCGGAAGTCCGCAAGGAACTCCAACTTTTGGAGCGTTACAAATCATCTGGCCCAGATGACTTACCTCCGGCTCTTTCTAAAGATGGTGGTGACTTTCTGACTAAGGAACTGACGACGTTGTTTACAAAGGTTTGGGAACTAGAGAGTGTACCAACGTTATGGAATGAGTCGATAGTTGTCCCTATCTTTAAAAAGGGTTCACGTCGTTCCTGCAACAACTATCGGGGGATAATTCTACTTCCGATTGCGTCCAAGCTATTGGCTTCCGTCATACTTCGTAGGTTGTTCAAAACCCGAGAAAGATTGACTCGCGAGGAGCAGGCTGGGTTTCGTTCTGGTCGAGGTTGTATTGATCATATCTTCACCCTCCGCCAAATGTTAGAACATCGCCATACTTATCAAAGGCCAACAATCGTAGTGTTTCTTGACATCAGGGCTGCCTTCGATTCGTTGGACAGGACTGTTCTCTTGGATTGTCTATTGAAGGGTGTGCCTGAGAAGTTTATTAACATACTAAAAGCCCTATATAAAAACACCTCAGGCAGAGTGAGGGCATACAACCACCTCTCTTCATTGTTCCATTCGAGTAGTGGGGTTAGGCAGGGTTGCCCAATCTCACCATTCCTCTTCAACTTTGCCATCGATGACATTCTGGAAACAGCTCTGATGAATGTAAGTAATGGTGGTGTGGATCTGTTGCCTGGAGAAAGACTTCTCGACCTTGAGTATGCGGACGATATTGTCTTACTGTGCGATAATGTCCAAGGCATGCAATCCGCACTTAATCAGTTGGCAATCAGTGTCCGTAGGTACGATATGTGCTTCGCACCTTCGAAGTGCAAAGTACTTCTACAAGACTGGCAGTATTCTACTCCTGTACTCACCCTGGATGGTGAGCAGATAGAAGTAGTCGAGAAATTCATATATCTAGGTAGCTGCATAAGTGCTGGTGGTGGCCTGAGTGATGAGATCAATGCACGTATAGTGAAAGCCAGAGTGGCTTATGCCAATCTGGGCCATCTTTGGCGCCTTCGTGATGTTAGTCTGGCTGTAAAAGGTCGGATCTACAACGCGTCGGTGAGAGCAGTTTTGCTCTATGCTTGTGAAACCTGGCCTCTCCGAGTTGAGGACGTTAGATGACTCTCCGTGTTTGATCATCGTTGTCTCCGAAGGATTGCTGATATTCAGTGGCAACACCATGTCAGTAATGCAGAGGTTCGGCATCGTGTGTTCGGGCACAGAGATGATAATGCAATCGGTGTCACCATCTTGAAACACCGACTTCGGTGGCTTGGACATGTTCTACGAATGTCGTCCCAGAGAATTCCACGTCGGGCATTATTTGCCGACACTGAGACTGGTTGGATGAAGCGGGGAGGTGGTCAGTGTATGACATGGTGTCGGAGTATGAAAGTAAGCTGCAAGGGGCTGGCTTGTGTTGGTCCTTCACGACTCCCTGGTCGGGGTCCGAGAGATGGTGCGACACAGTGGCTAGAGACGTTATCAGATATGGCTCAGAATAGAAGCCAGTGGCGATCCCTCTGTAATCTTCATTTGCTTTCTTCATGAAAAGTTGTTGTATCTTCCTCAACTGAAAGATTTCCGGTTGAACCTTTCCGTTTCCCCCATTATTATTATTATTATTATTATTATTATTATTATTATTATTATTATTATTATTATTATTATTATCGTTACACTACCTTACACTAATCTGGTTGTTATTGTCCTTCTTTTTTTACGCTCCTTACCTTCTTTTTTCCCCTTCGCATTCTCATTGTTTTGTGTGGCGCATATGTATTTGGTGCTCTCTTGTACCAATATTTATGTGTTCAAATAAATAAATAAATGAGTATGCCTGTGTTCTAAAACCTGGCGAACGGTGGATATGTGGTCGATGCAGCCACAACCAGGTCTGAAGCCAGCCTGATTTTCTCGTGTTTGCAGATCACGAGTGTTAGTTAGGCGTCCGATAATTATTGAGGCTATTATTCTAGATGTTATAAATCATATTTCACTTCATCCCAGCTGCAGTCAGTGAGAGCGTAGGAAGAAACGATGAAAAGTTAATGACGTGTGTCCCTATCCTTTCGAGTCCTTACGGAGCCGTCTAGCCGAGAAGTACATAGACGACTGTCAACGGGGATCCACTCTAATAGTGCTTGTTCTGTCCTCGTACTCAGTGCTATGCCTACACCTGCCAGTCCACGAGAACTAGCCATCGAGTCGCCAGATACATGGAGGGTGTATCTCGTTGGCTGTCCGTTTTGGCGTGGTGAAGTCAAGTGAATGACCACACTAGGATCCTGTACGTGCGTTTAAGAGACACAACAAACATCAATGGTACGAGATTCTGGGATTTTAGCCAAGGAGGACTGTTGGTCGATTCGACACAGTGTGTACGTCTATGGCCAGTTTGGAGCGAGATTTCAATAAACCTGGGAGTATTTCGCGCACTAGAATCGTTGGCTATGATGACAATTGAGAAGGAGGACAAAAGAGGAAGTTTAGTGTTGAAAGTCGATGTAGAAGGAATAATGGGAATTGAAGAGAGTGATTGATTATGAATACAGTGATCTTGAGTGCTGTTAGAGGTATGAGGGCAGTTATCACTTCTTGGTTGCCCACACCGTGCAAGGGTTCTTCTGAAGGTACATGAAAAGGAAATCGGGTTAGAGGTTATCTTAGTGACCTGAGGGCGTGTCCGCAGTGCCCAAGGGACAAGTGTTTGATGTCGGTCACACATGACCATTTTGTGAGTAATTTTCATGTTAGCTCCGTACTTGAGACCTTACCGCCGAAGACGGATATCCGTGCGATAAAGCGAGGTGCGCAATTTTAGGGTCAACATTTTCTAACCCCGCCCCTACATTTGGTAGGCAGCATCGCTGTCATTACACTTGCACCCTTATTAACTAACAAAGCTTTATGGACGAAGGAATATACAAAACAGCGCTAAAATGCACTCAATTTGAAAAGACATATTTTGAGAGTTCTTGTATGATTGCAAAGATGGCAACTAACTTACTTTGTATCGAACCTAAGAAGCATGGCGATAAATATTCCTGGAACAACTATATCACCAAGACCAAGCAAGGCTAACTGTTTGCCGAATAATCCATGTGAAAGAAAATCACGCGGAAAAGTAACTAAAAAGATAAGGTAACAACATTCAACATTTTATCACAATGTTTAAATGAACGAAAATAGACTATAAATAATTAGCGATATAGCTTACTTGATGTTAACAAAATGACCATCCTAATATTACAGAAATGCTTGCATGCAAGGCAGTCCTAACTTCTAGGAAGGCAGAACACTAAATGTTTGTACTTAAGCTACTACTTTTTTTAATAGTTGGTAGATAAACATGAATAGATGGGCAACCTCAGATATATTTATTATGAAACCCACACACATATCATCGCTACATTATTTCCAGAGTAATTTCTTATGGTTAAGCTACGATAACGATGCACCCAGGTGCAAGCAAACATATATTTACACAACAAGTGAAGGGTTGAGATCCAGATGATCAATTTGAGGAGTCAAAGATTCGACACACTAGCAATAGGTTTTCAGACAAGAGTATATGGTTGAATCACTTCTAGTATTTGAAGTTTGATACCAAAATGCAGTAAAAAGTAACTCGGTAGGTGTGAAAACCCAATCGCTACAGGCAGTGCAGGTTAACAATATTATTGCTCATTCGTTAAGTGTACTACACATATGCTATAAGATACCTAAGAATTCATCAACCACTAGGTCAACGCTTGACTACAGATTGCGTAAGCGAGAAATAAAAGAACTTTCAGATCCAGTAGGATATTCTATCCATTGCGGTTGATATAATAGTTAAACACTAAACCATCCCTAACTTTTTATTTAAAAAAAAACAGTTAAAATGGTCCAGTTTAAAAGCATTTTTACTTCCGAAACACAGGAAACACATGGACATCCCTAATTTTCTCAGTAGAATACTAATACCACAAACTCAGCATCCGCTCAAGTTGATTAGACTTCTGGGTAAGAAACCTAACTAATAAAAATCAGAGATATACAGGTTTTCTAAAAATGGGATTCTGGAGACGATGAGTGATTATTTATTATTTTATTTGAACACAAATAAGTATTGGTATAATGAGGCGCTAAATATATATGCACCACACAAGTCATTTGATTTGTGTATGAACTGTGGTACTGCCCGGGTGTTCAGATCGAAGCAGATGGTTTTCTTAAGGGGCCACACTCGGGGCCTTCGACCTAAATGTTTGATTCACAAGGAGCAACGTAACGAGATGCAGTCTCATGGTAGCCGGTAGCCAATAATTGGTTCATACGCCATTTGTTCCCCTAGGATCCAGGAGTCCATGTGCACCATTGGTTTGGAACCAGGGTTTTCCAACTTCGTTAGGTGGATCCTCCATATCCACTAACTTGGTTAGAGCGCCGGACATTCGCTTTCTGTCCTCTCAGTTTCATAAACAACATCCCCGTCACAAGAAGACTGTGAGTACGACTTCCCTTATTTATTTATTTATTTGAACACATAAATATTGGTACAAGAGAGCGCCAATGTATATGCGCCACACAAAACAATGAAAATTCGAAGAGAGATAGAAAAAAAACAACTAAGGACCACAAAAGGTAGTGTGGTCGTAACGATGGAACAGAAAGGTACAATCAGAAGAAATCTTTCAAGTAAGGGAGACACAACCACTATTATGAAGAAAGTAAAAGAAGGTTACAGCAGGATCGCCACTGGCTTCTATTCTGAGCCATATCTGATAACGTCTCTAGCCACTGTGTAGCACCATCTCTCAGACCCCAACCAGGGAGTCGTGAAGGACCGACACAAGCCAGCCCCTTGCAGCTTACTTTCATACCACGACACCATGTCATGCACTAACCACCTCTCCGCTTTTTCCTACCAGTCCCAGAGTCGGCAAATAATGCCCGACGTGGAATTCTCTGGGACGACATTCGTAGAACATGTCCAAGCCACCGAAGTCGGTGTTTCAAGATGGTGACACCGATTGCATTATCATCTCTGTGCCCGAACACACGATGCCGAACCTCTGCATTACTGACATGGTGTTGCCACTGAATATCAGCAATCCTTCGGAGACAACGATGATCGAACACAGAGAGTCGTCTAACGTCCTCAACTCGGAGAGGCCAGGTTTCACAAGCATAGAGCAAAACTGCTCTCACCGACGCGTTGTAGATCCGACCTTTTACAGCCAGACTAACATCACGAAGGCGCCAAAGATGGCCCAGATTGGCATAAGCCACTCTGGCTTTCACTATACGTGCATTGATCTCATCACTCAGGCCACCACCAGCACTTATGCAGCTACCCAGATACACGAACTTCTCGACTACTTCTATCTGCTCACCATCCAGGGTGAGTACAGGAGTAGAATACTGCCAGTCTTGTAGAAGTACTTTGCACTTCGAAGGTGCAAAGCACATACCATACCTACGGACACTGATTGCCAACTGATTAAGTGCGGATTGCATGCCTTGGACATTATCGCACAGTAAGACAATATCGTCCGCATACTCAAGGTCGAGAAGTCTTTCTCCAGGCAACAGATCCACACCACCATTACTTACATTCATCAGAGCTGTTTCCAGAATGTCATCGATGGCAAAGTTGAAGAGGAATGGTGAGATTGGGCAACCCTGCCTAACCCCACTACTCGAATGGAACAATGAAGAGAGGTGGTTGTATGCCCTCACTCTGCCTGAGGTGTTTTTATATAGGGCTTTTAGTATGTTAATAAACTTCTCAGGCACACCCTTCAATAGACAATCCAAGAGAACAGTCCTGTCCAACGAATCGAAGGCAGCCCTGATGTCAAGAAACACTACGATTGTTGGCCTTTGATAAGTATGGCGATGTTCTAACATTTGGCGGAGGGTGAAGATATGATCAATACAACCTCGACCAGAACGAAACCCAGCCTGCTCCTCGCGAGTCAATCTTTCTCGGGTTTTGAACAACCTACGAAGTATGACGGAAGCCAATAGCTTGGACGCAATCGGAAGTAGAATTATCCCCCGATAGTTGTTGCAGGAACGACGTGAACCCTTTTTAAAGATAGGGACAACTATCGACTCATTCCATAACGTTGGTACACTCTCTAGTTCCCAAACCTTTGTAAACAACGTCGTCAGTTCCTTAGTCAAAAAGTCACCACCATCTTTAGAAAGAGCCGGAGGTAAGTCATCTGGGCCAGATGATTTGTAACGCTCCAAAAGTTGGAGTTCCTTGCGGACTTCCTCCTTGTTTGGTGGATCAGTCGTCACCGGCCATGGAGGGCAGGACAGTCTCACCGATGTTGCCGGAGCAGCAGGCCAGTTGAACTGCCCTTCGAAAAATTCTGCCCATCGTCCAAGACGTCGATGGATGTTAGTGATTGGCATCCCATCATCCTCACAGATTATTTCACTCACACCAGACTTCTTGCTGCCAGTGGCTCGGATGAGCTGGAAGAGCTTCCGGTAGTTACCAGATGCAGCTGCTGCTTCCAGCTCATTAGCACGCTCCGACCACCAGGCTTCTCGGTCCTTACGCAAGCTTTGCCCAATTTCATTACGTAAACAGCCTTCGTTTATGGTCAAACTCACGGTCACCCGGAGTAGACCAACGGGCGTCGATGAGTTGTAAGGAGCCTGAAGAAACCCAGTGCTTAAAAGCGAGACGTTTCGCAAACCCACAACTGACTGTTCCCACCATTTTCATGGCGTCAAGCAATTGCAGCCAATGCTCATCTATACTTTTCGGTGGAATGGTAGCTAGCCTAGAAGCTAGCTCGGTTCGATACTTACTTGCAACAGAAGTTGCAACCAACTTGCTGACATCAATCCTTTGATGGTGGTCACTTCGTTGTCCACTGAAAAGTAAGGCAAGATTGGCGCAGACCAAGGCATGGTCAGAGTCCAGATAGGTACTCCAAAAGGAGCGGCAGTCTTTTACACAACCACGCCAGCGGTAGCTGATCGCGATGTGATCAATCTGAGTCCAGGCTTGGGATGCAGAGGGAGGACGCCAGGTGGCACATCGGCGATGACTGTGCCGAAAGGTAGTGCTAGCCAGAAACAGGTTGTGGTCTGTGTAGAGTTGCAGTAGACGGTCCCCGTTATCTGACCTGAGACCAACGAGTCCCTATCGGCCACCTAAACGACTCTCTTCTGTGCCTAGACGCCCGACCTGAGCATTCAAGTCTCCGGCTAGTACTACAATATCTGTCGAGCGCACTTTCTGGAGAAGAACAGATAACTGGTGGTAAAACTCATCCTTGATTGCATCCGGGCTGCAATCTGTTGGGGCATAGGCAGAGATGACGAAAAGACATCGTTTCTCACGCCGATTTCTTCTCACTTTGATGGAACTTTCTAATCTAACAACACATAGCCGACTTCCCTGACAGTGGCTGTATACGCGCGGCCATGTGAAAGCACATGGAGAGGGAGAACTGATTCTCCCCACCCTCGGCCGTACCAAGGCATTTGGAGGCCATCGATCTAGGCACACGGGCAGTATCACAGCCCACACACAAATCAAATGCCTTGTGTGGTGCATATCTATTTGGTGCCATCTGACTGGTCTCAATCACTGATTGTGCCAGTTTATAAGAAAGGACAAAAGTCCTCTTGTGACAGTCACAGAGGAATCAGTTTGACTAATAGTGTCTAAAATATTAGCTTCAATAATACTTCGACGCCTAATCAAAGCTCGTGAAGAGCAGACTAGAGAAAATCAGGCTGGTTTTCGACCTGGACGTGGTTGTATAGATCAGATATTCACACTACGTCAGGTTCTAGAACACAGACACACATTCAGACGCCCCACAATGGTAGTATTTCTCGATCTTAAGGCGGCATTCGACTCTGTTGACCGTGAGGTTCTATGGCAGTGTTTGTCACTGAAAGGAGTACCAAAGAAGTACATTAACCTTATAAAGGCTCTCTACTCGAACACAACTGGTAGAGTGAGAGCTTATGGCGAACTGTCATCAGAATTGATTACCTCAAGTGGTGTTCGTCAGGGCTGTCCACTCTCCCCATTCTTGTTCAACTTTGTGGTCGACGTACTTTTAGAGATAACACTCTACTCATCTAAATTTCCGGGGGTTGAACTTCTACCGGGAGGTTCACTTGTTGACTTAGAATATGCAGATGACATAGTTTTATTTGGTGAAGACGCTGACAAAATGCAGAGTCTTCTGACCACTCTAAGCAACAATGCAAGCACGTTCGGGATGCGATTCTCTCCCTCGAAATGCAAAATGTTGCTTCAGGATTGGGTTACATCGACACCCGAACTAGTGATAGGGAGTGAAGTAGTTGAGTGTGTCGACTGCTTCACTTATCTTGGAAGTCTCATCAGCCCTTGTGGTCTGGTGTGTGACGAAATCTCAGCACGGATACAGAAGGCTCGACTAGCTTTTGCCAACTTGCGTCATTTATGGCGTAGGCGAGATATCCGTCTATCAACCAAAGGACGTGTTTACTGTGCAGCAGTTCGTTCCGTCCTACTTTATGGCAGTGAAACATGGCCAGTAAGAGTAGAGGATATTCGTAGGTTACTAGTATTTGATCATAGGTGTCTTCGAAGTATTGCTCGTATATCCTGGGACCACCGAGTAAGTAACGCAACTGTTAGGAAACGGGTACTAGGTAAGGATGGCAAATCAATTGATGAAGTAGTGAAACTTCATCAGTTGAGATGGCTGGGACACGTGTTACGTATGCCCAACCACCGACTACCTCGACGTGCTATATTCAGTGGTATAGGAGTAGGTTGGAAGAAAGCTAGGGGCGGCCAGACCAAAACATGGCACAAATCCATGAAGTCACTGACAAGTGGACTGAGTCATGTTGGTAGGTGTAGACTACCTGGTTGGGGACCGCGAGATGATAGCAACCGATGGTTAGAGACCCTGAATGACATGGCTCAAAATCGTTTGCAACGGCGCAGGTGCATCCACTCTTTATGTTCTCTCAAATTCTAGTTATCTGAATTCTTCATGCCCCTTTTTTTTCCTCTTTCCAAATTTATTTCACTGGATTATACTCGTTAAATAACATCTCCAAACCCTAATCTTCCCGATTACTGCTTATACTCTTGCTACCTCTACCACTACGGGATTTGAATCGACCACTGCATCTCTGTGCTAATGTGGTATGGCAACTCGAACTGATGTACGTACGTACTAAGTTCTACGTTGTTACTGACTGACTGACTGGTGCCATCTTGAACCAATTTCTATGTGTTTGAATAAATAATTAATTAATTGGTGACGGGAAAATTATCAACAATTATTATTGAAAGCTTGTCAACGTATAAGTATATACTAAGTTAATTCCAGTAAACTTACTGATAGTCATTTGCAAAAAATTGCATAAAAACGACTATTGCACTTTACAACTCATTTGGTGTATCAATAAAAGTGATCAAATGGAAAACTTGGAAATTTGCTAAGGTTATCTTGAAACTTTTCAAGTGTAAATACTTGGTTTAATTACTACAATATTAACTAGTTAAATACAACAATCTCAGCAATGTGATTACCTTCATTAAATGAACTAGTTTAGTCTTAATGGCAAATTAACGAAACGACGACATTACACTCTGGATTCATTAGTGATATAATAAAATGGTATCAGATAAAACGTAGTAATAAACCTCAGGAAATACAGATCTGTGTTTGACGAAAAATATAAGACTACTTACCTTTGATTGGAATATCTAGGTTTTTTGCGACAGCCATCATGACACCAGTTCCAAACACCTGGATTTAAGTATAGCACGAAATCTAACTTACCCAAAATATATCATATACGAACAGTCCGCAGAGAAGTAATATGCCATTTACGAACTTATTTAACCTTATGAATTCGATGGCCAAAATAGCAACTGTCACTGCAATAAAATTGTTCGCAATCCAATGCTACCTAATAAAGCTATTTATTTTGACTTACTCCCGAAAAATAGTACCAAGTGCCAAGCAAAATACCGATGCCAGTGCCTATGAAATCCTTCGACTCAAGTGAAAAATCATAGTTGTCTATCAGGTGAGATGTACACAATCATGGCTACCTACCCAATAAGTTCCATTGAGATTCGGAACCATCTGAGTTCTCTAAACTTCTTGAAAACTCAAACTTGAACCGCATATTTTTTACACAACCCGGCATATACGGGCGAAAGATGGGTCTACACATACAGTTAGCAGAAAAAGTACTTACGACAGGAACCGGGATATTGCACAAGCACCCATAAAAGAGAAATATAACTTCATAACGGAGTTGATGTACTGAATAGGAATGAACTTTAACATAGTAGAACTATATACACTGACAAACCTTAAAGACGACATAAATCCCGAAAAGTGCAGCACTGGCGAGAAATGGAAACAGTGCTGCATCTTTACCTGATACAACTTCTATCTCATCAGTTGACTTCTTACTAGTTATTGAACGGAAAGAACCTATATAAATAGGTACTATAGCCAGGAGAAACAGTGCTGAATTAGTAATCATGGAATCTAGATTGAACTCCAGGTTTGTAATGGTCCCGTTCGTATCGCTCACATTCCCTACCTCGCTTAGGTTCATGTTCACAAACTGTACGCGTAAAAATTCAAACAGAGTACTAAACACGTAGATGTGATCACGTAACGTCTGACGCAGAATAAGAATTATATTGGCCAATGTATTGTCATAATACTTTACCATTCAGTATTGATTGTTGTAAAAAATTAGACTAAAAGTTTTATATTAGTCATAAAATGGAATTTATTAATAGATTTTTCTCTGTCCCTGTACAATTTTGTCTAATAATCTCCGGGGTCATAGAAAGAAGGTTCACAAAACGCGATCTAATAGACTTAAAGTGGGGTCCCATTTTCCACATCGAGTAGTCAATGACTGGGACGCCTTATCCGAACAAATGGTATCAGCCTCATCAGTAAATATCCTCAAGGAGAGGCTGGATCTCCACTGGACGGCAATCTGTTAAGATTGATACATGTTCACCAACCTACTATACTTATTACTAAAGACTGGATGTCTACTATTATAGTAGCCAAGATAAATGTGCTAATATTGAACAAGAACACAGTTCTACTGCCTCATCACCGCTTATTCTGACCTGTCCTGTAGTGACAGCCATGATGTTTCCTTCAGTGAAACCACTCTCGTGTTGTGCCAAAAATGTAACGGTCAGACTCCCAAATCTCACTAACTTCACTACTTAAAATGGGTATGAGTGCGAATCTTTACAATAACAGCAGCTATCACACCTTGACATTGTCTAGAATAACACGAGATAGAGCAGTCAAAAATTTCCACATATTTCGCTGTTACCAAAATATTTATATGAACAGTTTAATTCTGGTGCCCAAATAATTGATAACACAGCACGTGAACTTGAACGTATCATCATGCACCCTATTATTTGTGTGACTGACGGGGAATTTTAACGTCTCTTTTTACATGGGATTATATTGACGCCCATCTTAACCGACATAGGTCCACCCAAGTGATCAAACTCTATGAAAACCATGGAATGTCTTTTCCTCAAGCGGGAACGAAAAACATGGTTGGCCTAATATATACCAGGGGCATCTTCCCAATCACTAACCGTTTGGAGATAACGTCCACAAAGCCTTCCATTCCTCTCAAAACAAACTGTAGGAGTGTCTTTCCTGTTTTGAAAGTGTTTTGAAGAAGTGAATTGGCTTGACTGTACAGAACAAGTGAGTAACGTTGACTGAAATGCTCTAATCGGACCTTATATGTGCTAAGAGTTTTTTTTCGATCTGGTCGTTCCATGAAATTCCCAAAAATTTTCTCATAATCGTGAACTTTCAGAAGGAAGTTTGCGATAAAATAACTGGGTTACTTTAATTCTCAGACCCACAAATTTGGGAGCTTTTCAACCCTCGTAAATTTACTCGTATTTCGTAGAAATATTTGACCCAAATTAGCTTAGGGTCTTATTAAAGAAGAATTTGATGTTTTGACTAGCGAGAATAAGGTTTTTCATGTGTGACTCAAGTTTACTCGTCTGAGTCAAGCGATAAATCACCGTTAGGACGACAACACAGCGTTACGAGTTAAGATTGAGTTTCTGTCTAATGCAATGGGGCTTTTTTTGCTTACTACATACCTCTGTAGAGTGATGAACTTTTATGCTTGACCAAAATCGAACCACCCAACTTGCTCCACGTAATAGCCTTATTAACGTTGCATTGAGACAACAAAATGCTTTTCGTTTATTTTGCTGATGGATGGAGGTATGTATTTAAGTGTCTTTAAGCCTTATGTATTGACTCCACGACAAAGCAAATGAATTTCATTCTAAATGCCCATATTTTCTATTATTTCTGAGTCTGTAATACGTATGGCCAAAAACTATAGGACTCTGTGTGTAAGATCCACTTGGAATGTTTTGTGTGTGAAAATCTCTCCTTGTATACACTTGCAATTGGTCTCTATTGATTCCTTTAGTTGTGCATTTTGTTGATCTTTTTGTTTCCATTTTAATTGGTGATATTTGTATTTTATTATAGTTTTTATTTTTCTTACGCCTGTACTAAGTTTCCGTGTTTCTTCCTGAATAGCATTTATGTTGTTTTACTTGATACTTAGTCTTGGCGACAGCCATATTGGTTTGTTTCTCCTTTTGACTGTGTTGCGTGTATTGACTGGAATTGCGCATTTTCAATTGTGAATTGAGGCACTCTTTTAGAATTGGAAACACTCTGTGTTATAAAGCAACGGGATATTATTTCTTGAACGAATCTTTGTGTTGTATATCCAGACAAGATAGAATAGTATTTATTTGTTGCGACTGGTAATTTTCTCGCATCCGTTATCAAATTCTCATTTATTTTAACTTAGATTTTATTAAGTGAACAAATATTGGTTGAATAGCTGGGTGGTCATATTTGTTAAGGTAATAATGTACACTTAAATTTATAATGAATTTCAGAACTTTCGTTCTACCCAATCACTTTGTTTTGGTTTCATTCAGTTAAGGGCGCGTATCTAACCCACCTAGACAGATATTCTTCAGTCCAAACCTTGGTTTGGATCTTACACTGTGCATCCTCTTCCTAATAATCTCTTCCAAATCAATATTGGGCTTCCATGGACAAATTTATTGTCAATAATGAAATAATTTTGTCAAAATCTGCACAATGACTGGAACTAAAATGTTCGGGTTGAACTCAAAAGTGACCCAAAAGAATGACAATAAAAAAGTTGATCCCAATCACAGCGTTCTATTGTCTAAGATGTGAAGTTTCCTTGAGTCACCCGAAGTCCGTGGTTATATTGAAACTACAAAATGTCTCCATAATGTCTCTCCGCTGTTATGCAGTTAGACGTTTTCCTAATGCAAAGTCCCATACTATACAGAAAGGAACAGTCACAAAACATAACCGGTACGTGCCTGAGGATCAAGAGGAATGTACTGAACGAAACGAGATCGAACCCTTACATACAAAACCGAAGTTAAATAACAGACACTGTTAGGTGACAGCTATACGGAAACACTAAGCACCCGGTTCGTGACCTAACTTTGAGTTCCTTAGGACAAGGCTGACTGAAGGCTGCCCGGCATCAAGTGGAAACAAAATGTTATGTTGAAGAGAACTTCATTAAAAGGTCAGGATATCCAGTCAGATTTGGAGATGAGATCTAGTATATGGTTGTGATTGTTGGGTATTTGGTCAATTGAGTCATATATCAATAACAATTCGGTTGTGCGCAGTAGGTTTTAGATTAATCAATAAGACGTTTGATTAATATATAGTTGATTACCAATGAAAACGTCTGGTCATGTACTTGTGTTTCGAAAATATGCTATCGGCAGTACATAGCTATTAGAAAACGAAAGTGTCCTATCGTTCAGCGAAGAGAAACCTGCTTTTACGCTAGTCACAAACGAAGTGATTACCATTTGAGCACTATAAGAAGTATCGTTATGCTTGTCAAAACTTCATCTGACTACTCGCTCACAATGTTCATGATGGATCTGTTACAACTCTAAACATGTCCTTCTGAAATAGTTGAGATACTTCGACTCTTAAAAATAAATCTAATGAGGGGTGGTCGGTTTTTTTCTTGTCTGAACGTTCTGTAATGACTCACAGTACTGATTTATCTCACGTGAAAAATCATCGAATACAATCCTGATTTTTATTACCCTGACTTTGGGCAAACTAGTGGCACCATTGCTCATAATTCCAAAACTTCTAGGCTCTAAATCCTAATATTAAAACTCCTCAAACCCAACACCTAACCCCTACACTCCTAGTTTTAATGCCCATAGCCCAAGCATCTTGAACTTGGCAGTTTATTCCATAGGAAGACCACTCTCCAATCCTTTCGAAATACAAAATACAATACAAGTCATGGGCTTTATTAGTAAGATATTTACAATAGCGTTTTTAATTCGCAAACGGTCTGGCATAACTTCGGTTGGTCACTCAAGGCCGTCGATTTAGTATAGTCTTATGGTCTGAAACACAATAATAAGGAACAACTGTAAGGATATTACGTTTTAGACATACACAGTTCATATACAAGCACACCTGACCGCATCACATGATAAAATGAGAAAACAACAGTTATACAAATTGATCAAAAAGTGGTTGTGAGCTAGGGACACTTAACGTAAGTCGTATAATAGTTAGTCTTAAAAAAGTATTGATGTAAGTGACCAAGCTGCTAAATAATTATAAAATAAGAACATGTATACAACAATAGTCTACGAATAATTTCCGGGTGTTAGCATTCATTTAGTGTTCTCCGGATACAAATTTTCGATGTTGTGGGAACTGCCTGACAAACTGTGGAATCACTAGTGTGCAATTACAACAAACTGCTGAAATTAATTTTATTGTTATGCAAAATCATCGACAGAAAAATCAAAATTACACTGACATCGTAGCATAGATCATGAAACGGAATCACACAATTCACTAAAGTGCAATAAAGAGTATATGACAAACAATCATATTAAAATTGGTACAAGATACCTAAAAACAATTAAACCCATAACTAAATGGGCCGTAAAAAGTCTTTTGGCTTTATTTTTTTCGCTTGTACACGTTTATAATGCTTCCAAAGTCTCAGAAACTATATCTCTCTCAACGTAAGTGCTGAATGATAGTTATGAGTCTTAGTCGGGAATCTGTAGTGGCATTGGACCATAACCACACTATCCTCAAAGCTGAATACGAGATTACTCGGAAAATAGGTATTCAATATTTAACGCGAAGAAATACCTAACGATGGAGAAGGCGCGAATAATGAATTGAATAGACTAGAGTTGATCGAACGGCATGGCTCGGCCATGCAGGCGTGGTCTCTGCTGAATGTTACCTTATATCTTCTTTTCATATTAAATATATTGTTCTTTCTCTAGCCTAACCTTGTTCTACATCATGTATTGGTAATTGATACGATACAGTGAGTTGGTGTAGTCGATGGTGTGACTTCCACGTAAGATCTTATAGATTAGGCAGTCATATCATGACAAATCTACAAATTTAGGATTAGGTCTATTATTAGAGCAGTACTAATATCATAGTAGACTTTAGTTCTACATTGGT